GGGGGCCCTTCCCGCTCTCTCTGTCCCTCTGCTCTCGCCTCGAGCCGAGACAAGCCGGTTTTGTTTGTGTCTATGTATATGTGTATGTGTGTATATGTATATGTGCGTGCGCGCGGAGGGCCTGGCGGGCGCTGGAAACGGGAACGTGTGGGAGCGGAACGGGACGGAACGGGACGGGCTGGGGCTGGGGCAGCGCGCGGGGCGGGAGCGGCCGTGCTGCAGCCCGAGGATGTGGGAAGCACCCAGAGTTCACCCCCACCCGCTGTTATCCTTGGTTGCTGCTGCTACAAGGAATGCTGGTTTCTTTCCCGTTTGCTCTGTGTTTGTGTCCCTTCCACCGTGTGCTTGGCCACGTGATGAGCAACATTGGGGAGCTGATTTGTTTGGAATTTTACTCCCTGGGGAAAAAAAAAAAAAAAAAAAAAGAAAAGCACGTGATTTTCAGTCAGCTCAGTTGCCCGGGTGCATCTCCTTCATGCAGAGCAGTACTTCTTCCAATACCTGATCTAAAAATAAATAGATAAAAGATTACGCAACGCATTTGTTACCCCGGCACTGCAGGTCATCTATTAATGGACTGGTGCGTGTCCAGCAAGTTCTTAAGAAGCTGCTGGGGCAAATCTGTGTCAGCGCCTCGGGGTCCGGCCTGCCGCAGGGACCTCCCCGCGGCTCCCCCAGAAATGCCGGGGCTGCAGCCCCAGTGGTTTGGGGCTTGTTTGTTTGTTATTCCCCAGCACAGGAAACCTGGAAACCAGGTCSTTGCCCCGTGCCTCACAGCATCCCCTTTTCATGTGCAGAGACCATGGTTGTGCTTCTCCTTGTTTCTCTTTGTTTCTCCGAGTCTTTCCTCACAGGGCGTCTCTTCCTGGTTCTCCAGACTTCTGGTTCTTGCACCTTCTCTTCCTGTCACTTTGCTGTAAATGATGTTTACAGGAATATGAGAAGATGTTGCCAAAGCATGCATAAAATCTCATGTATTTGTGCTTCCCCAGGACCATGCAATGATACCTGTGTATATATATATATATATATTTTTCCAGAAATCCGTATACTTCCTAGATAAATGGATGGAAATGAATGGGTTACGTTCCACTTAAGCTATATAGGCATCTTTCTAGGCATCTTTCCTGTATTTTGAGGCATAGTTACATAGTTTATGGCAATCCTTTTACTTACTCACTCACTTCAAGTATTAGTCAAAATGAAGTTTGTTTCCATGTTTGACTGGCAGCAATAACCTGAGGCTACAGCTTGTCATCTCTTGTGAAGGTCCCACTAGAAATATCCCTGATGTTTATGCTGCCRTTTAAATTCAAAAGCCTTTTTAGTGGGTGTTTTGTTTTTCTTTTGTTTCTGTATTATTATTACTTACTCCTTTGTTTCTTGGGGGTTTATTGTCTTCCTTGTTCAGTTCACTGCCTCTAACTCAGTTGTAAGAGACACATACTGAAGAAAACTGCTGGCAGGGTAGTAATAAAAGAGAAATTAATGTTTAATGAAGGGCCCAACCAAAGTCCAGAATGTTACTAATGAATGAGGCATCTATTTTATATAACTTAGAAAATATTTCTGAGTAGATATTCTAGAGTGAAATCCCAAAAGGAATATTGCTGTGAAAGGGTAGGATTGAACAGAAGAGGTTTCAGCAAAAGCCAGATATAAAGCTGTAAAGCAGCAGGATTTGAATTTTGCAGTTTGGCTAACTTCATTGCAATTTATTACGTACTGTAGAACATTTTATAATCTATCAAAAACAGTTGTTTTTCAAATGAGCTCTGAGGAGGTTGATCAGATAGGTGTACAGCTGGAGATTGATGCTGTTTTTAAGTTCATAAATAGTACTTAAAACTGAATTTCGTGGTAAACTTTCACCCCAGGTGCAGAGGCTAACAATTGTTCATTGTTGGTTCCCACAATAAATCAATAATAAAGCCTTCTTATCTATTGCTTTATATAAGATTGTGCTTACAGCCTCTGTGGAGGTCACAGAACAGCATGCTGTAAAGTGTAACACAGCCTCTCGGTGGTCTCTGAAATTATGACATTAGAAAACACATTTTTTGTTCTTTAAAAACGGTTGTATCTGCTTGTAGAGTCTGACCTGTTGAATTTTCACTGCAGGAAATAACGTCTTTGCTCTCGCTTTATGGTGGACAGTTCAACAATCAGCAGGAAATTCGTGTAAATGTAAGTGTGGGCCAAATATTTCTTGGAATATTTTTAAGTTTTACACTTATGTTCTKTATAATATTTTTATTACATGTAGAGAGGTGAATAGATTTTGAAGTTTCTTAGGAAAACAAGGCATATTCCAATTCTAAATTGTAGTAAAAATTTTCAGTTTGGTAAAAGACACAGAAAATGTATTTGAGGGCCTGTCTGTTTAATAATAAAAAAAGAAATAATGCCATCTGCTGGCGAGTCTGTGTCTTCAGAGTACTTGAACCACTGAAGCAGACGTTAGTTCTTGTGCATCTCTTTGAATTTGGTATTTACCTCAAATTCACTGGTAAAATAAAGCTGGGAAATTAATTTATTCTAGTCTCAGTGCTTGGAGAACATTTTTTCATTATTATTTAGTAGTCAAGAGTAGCTAGGTGTTAAATTCTTTAGAGAATGAATAATCTAGAGAAGCATAAATAAATAATYGGCAAGGCAAAGAAATCGTGGGGAAATGAAATCTGTAATAAGATGTCTCACCATTTAAGCTAAATATACAATTTTGTCTCAGATTGTATGTTTCACCCCCATGTTCTCTATACAGTTAACAGATTTTTATTTATCCTCAGTTTTCATTTTCTGTTTTTAAGAGAGTAATTTGGATTGCATTCTGTGAGTTATGTTATATTTTCCCAGAAGGCATTTGGATCGCTCATCTATCTTCTTTTTATTTCAGTCTCCATTTTGGATTCTTGATATTCCTTCGGAAGAGATGGCAAGGGGACTAATGAAACGGACAGTGTGCGCAAAGTAAGAGGTGAAAAAGCTGAATATGCCTCTGCCAGCATTTCTGTCGTTCCATCCTTGTACCTAGTTCACGTTCTGCTAGGAGATACAACAGATGCTTTGAGCAGGAATGGCCCAATGCTGGACACACGTTCTTCTCCGGGGCACGTTCTACCCCGAGATGGGGTGCTGAGCATGGAGCAGCGCCTCGGGCATCCCTGTGCTCGGGGAGGTCTCTTTCATGTGTATGGAAAGGCCCCTAACTGGGATATTTGAGCTCTGGGCTAAAGGCCCGTGGTGTGATACGTGTTGCTGGACCCTTATTACAGTATTAATTCAATCCTCTTATCTTCCCAAGGCAGTGCTTTTCTTGAAAGACGGCAATATGGAAACAAAAGAGTGTAAAAAGACAGAAAAAGATTTAAATACCTTAAAATCGCAGAACTGTAGCATCTTAAAATGAGGTATCTGATGATGTCATTGTGTGTAAGCTGTTAACTTTTCCACATTTCTTTTATTCCAGGATAGAGTGACGTTTTCAAAGTCTGTTCTTGACCTTTTTCAGTCTTTGCTTTTACCCCACCAAGCTGCCAGACACAAAGTGGTTTTGTGCTGATTTGCAAGGATCACTATTGCAAAGCAGAAAAAAAAAGCTGATGGTATCCAAGAATGATAAGACTGAAATTTAACTTCTACTGTATGTTACCAAACAAAGAAGGCATCACTGAACTATCAGCTAAGGATGCTTATTACAAAAAAAAAAAAAAAGTCATCCCTGTCCAGAATAAAACTTAAGTGTGTATCAAAAGCTAAATAGATGTTTCAGTACTTCATGAAGGAAAATCTAAATAAATTGGACAAGAAGATTGATGAAAAGATTTATCCATAAGGTATMTTCTCTCCCAGCTGTATAATTACAATCTAAAAATTTTGGCATTTTCAGGTCTATATTTGAATTGTGGGGTCATGGCAGATCTGCAGGGGAGCTTTATACATCTCTGAAGAGCTATCCAGTGGAGAAGATGGTATGCATGTAAAGAATCTGGATCATACATTTACTTGATCCCACTGATCAGCACTGGAGCTGATCACACTGATTAACAAAGGTATCCTTCCCTTTCTCAGCTTCCGTATCTACAGGCAGACTCTACGTACAAAATACGTATCCATACGTTCAACAAAACGCTGACCCAAGCAGAGAAAATAAAAAAGATAGATGTAAGTGGGTGTTGAAAGGAATCTTTAAAATATAATTTCATCTATTCATGCTGTTCTTATTCTCTGCTCTCAGTGTTGTCTAATATGTATTTAAGTTTGTATTTCTGAAAGTCTTAAARCAGTTTGCAGCTTATGTCCTATCAGCTCTAAATGGGATCCTTGTGCCTGCCTTAACTTTCCCCTCAAAAATCATGATATTTTTTCCCCTTTTTTTTTTGTTTCTAAATAGAATATTTAAGCATATAAAAAAGACTCATGAGTTATGACTCCGTGCTGATTTCACAGAGGGGAAACTTGGTCCAAGCTTTTAAAATTCAAATGGATAGAGTTAGGTTCTAGATTTTTTAAAATCTTCCACTTATTGTATCAGAAGTTTATAGTTGTAGGACACAGAACAGTGGCTTTAGTTGCAAGCTGTGAATTGTTTGCTCCTTTTCTGTTTTTGCCTTGTGTTCTGGTCTGCTCTTATTCTCTCCTCCTAAGCTTTTGCTTTTTTGTTATTGTTGTTTATATGTGTTGTGTACGAAAGCGTGAGGAAAGATGAGTGAAGGAAAAGACAACGGGAAGGAGATACTCTTTCTTGTTTACATAGTTTTCATGCGTTTCACAGATTCACAGAATATTTAAGGTTGGAAGGGACCTCTASAGATCATCTAGTCCAACCTTCCTGCTCMAGCAGGCACAYCTAGAGCATGTGGCACAGGGTGGCATCCAGGYGGGTTTTGAAGACCYCCAGAGTAGGAGACTCCACAACCYCCCTGGGCAGCCTGTTCCACTGCTCTGTCACCCTCACAGTAAAGAAGTTGCTCCTCACCTGGAGACGGAACTTCTTRTGCTTCAGTTTGTGGCCRTTACCCCTCGTCCTRTYGCTGGCCACCAGTGAGAACAGCCTGTCCCCTTCCTCCCTGCATTCTCCCTTCCTGAACTTATACATATTAATCATATCCCCTCTGAGCCGTCTCTTCTCCAGAGAAAACAGGCCCAGCTCACTCAGCCTCTCTTCATACGAGARATGTTTGTAAAATAATGCTGAATATGTTAATTGGTGTTGCAGCAAGTCACTGAAATTTTATATCTTGCCGTCCATTAGAAGAATTGCTTTTTTTTTAACTTGAAAATTCGTAGAATCGTAGAATCCTTAAGGTTATAAAGGACCTTTAGGGATCTTCTAGTCCAACCCCTCTGTACATGCAGGGTCACCTAGAGCACATGGCACAGGATTGCAAAATTGCCTGATTAACATACAGTTTATTTCCTCAAAAGTTAGATGTTCTTCAGCTAAAAATAAATGTTATGGTTCCAGATTTCTTAAGCCTGAGTCACTTGGGCTATCCTTATTCACAAGTAAGGCATTCTAAAAATTCATGGCAAAGTGAGAATGCACTTCTAGGAGTAATTCATTATTCCTCACCAGCAGATTTTGTTGCTGTTGTGCTATTGTTTTTGCTTTTGTTTTGGGAGGATGTATGTTTAAAAATTAAGAATTTCTAGAATTTAAGAAAATATTTTCCTTTATTAATATAGGCACTAGAATTTCTGCCATTCAGTGGAAAAGTGAATTTGAAGAGTCCGGAACATGTCTTCTGGATTTTGGAAGATTATGGCCTGGAGCCTAATAACGTGCCTGAAGAGCCTCTTGATCTGTATTTTGGCAGATGGGTGCGTGAGTACACTCACTTCAGCTTCCTCTAGCTGGGGTATTCAGGAAAKTCTCCTTCACTTTAACTGTAAAATCTTATGTAAAATTTTAATGGAGACAGTGATTACATAATTATGGCTGAATATGYCGTTGCATAATATACTGATGCAAGTCCTGGAAAGCCTTAATGGGGATAGAAGAAAGCAGATTAATTCAGCAGTTGAAGCAGGTGAAAAAGTAAAGCGGTAGGTGAAAATGCGACTTTTTCCCTGCCTTCTGTGGAGGGAACTCAACACAGCAGTAAGTTTCTGCACAGCTACAGTGTTTTATTAGATCAGTCCAAAGTGCAGCTGAAAGCACCAATAGCTTGTTTCAGACATGAGGAAAGGTTTACAGAAACTCGTGCTAAGGTGCATCAGGCTGCTGGAGCCTTCTGTGAGTGCTTGCAGAGATCCTGACAACCCCCTCAGTAGAGGAGCTTGAACCGATCTCTGAGGCTTTGAAATTTGGTACGTCCATCCCAGAAATGGATGGACCTTGTGTGGGAGGATGTTTGCAGTGCTCTGTTCTGTAGTAAAAATATGAATTAAAAAAAAAGGCCTTCATCATGTGAGGTATTTATTGCAATGCAATATATATATACATACCTGCATTTCTACTTCTGAACATCTTAGAATTATTTTAACTGTGAGTTGCCAGCAGCTGGTATCCTGATAACTACAATAATAGCAGTATTGCTAAGATTGTTGTTTCTTAGAACATTTTACACTCCAAATTCGTTAGTTATTTTTTTCAAGGTAGAAGTCGAAAGTACGTTTTGCACAAAGATGTCTCTTGCTTGGAAAAAGTTGTGTCATATTTTCAGAAGACAGAAAGCCAAGTGTCACGTTACGMAATGATGAAACGAGGAGTTCCCTGTTGGTTGGACAGTGTCCCTACACAAGCCTGTTGGCCTCTTGATATGTCTCTTCTATCTAAGACCTGACAGTGATTTTTAATGTTTCCACAGATTGCAGATGGCCAAAGAGAACTTATTGAGTCCTACAGTGTAAAAAAGAGACACTTCATCGGGAACACTAGCATGGATGCCTGCTTGTCTTTCATTATGGCAAACCATGGGAGAGTAAAACCCAACGATATTGTATTTGATCCATTTGTTGGAACAGGTATTTCTCCTCCTTTTTGTGGAAAAAATGGAAGCTGGAGCTGTGTTCCTGCGTGCACTCTGCTTTTCCTGAGCACAGGAGCTTCTAGTGCTTGACTGAGATTTGAGAGGGTACTGAAAGCTAAATAGTGATAATAGAAGGAAACTTTTATTTATCTTGTAAAGGCTTTTTAGGGAGTTTACTAGTTTCAGACAACGTAAACAGATTTGTCGAAAAGGTAAGGTAAAATATCTTAATCAGATTATTTATATATCATGGCTTAAACCGTGGTTACTGTGTGTTACAGACTGCTGCAAGACTTAATGTGGTTCAGAAATGAAGCCTTGGCTCCAGGGTTCCATGCAGACATTTCAAAATGTTGCATGGAGCAGTATTTTTCAGAAGACGATTTAGAGCAGCACTGAAGGCACCTCTAAGCATGTAACACAAAATAGCAGCTGTTAGGTCACCGTGCTCAGGAGTGGTCCTTTCCTTGTATCCTGGAGTCTTTAGGACACGGTTGTTCATACCCAAGCTGARCCTCTCTTGGTTAAGCCAGCAGGGGGAGCTTTTATTCCACATAATACCGAACTTTCCATTGCCTGGAAGTGTTTTTCTGATGAAGGACACACAGCTGGTTTGTAATTGAAATAGCAGTTCTATTGTGTCAAGTTGTGGCATTTAATCAGATAAAGTAGATCATATTAAGCTACCTTCATGACTTTTTTCAAAGGCGTTAAAAAAGTGGTTTTCTCTCTTTTTTTTTTTTTTTTTCCCCCTAAATTTTGCCCACCGGCAACTTTTCTATTTTTTGGGGGGAGGGAAGGGGAAGATGCACATGATAATCTGTTGAGAAATGTACTCCTCTTTCACTCACTCACCTGCAAGGTGCTTGTGTTCCTAGTGGGTGGCTAGTTCTTTTTGAAAGGCTGAGGAAACTGAGCAAGCTCCTCTAGTTCTTCTCTAAGCAGTTTAACTTCAGTGTCTGTGAGTTTGTTTCCTTTTACAAATATCTGCTAAACCTAAATCAAAGAAAATTGTGGAGAATTCTTTCTCTTGGGAGAGAAAATTGAGGAAAAAATAGGAGGGAAAAGATAGAGAAAGATCAAGATAAGCATTATAAATCTCATGTGATTCAATTCTCAAGTTATGTGCAAAATTCTTGCCAAATGGCCTCACAATTTGAATTTAAAATGATCGTTTTTATTAGGCTAGTTATCTATAATGTACAGACTTTCAATTTAAAATATGTAGGGACCCTGGCAATAGTGGGTAGCTCCCCACTTGTCAGTAAGGGGTATTGATAGGGATACAGATATTCTTACTTCAGTAGCTTTTATTTTTGCAGCTGTTCTTGGTGAACAAAATCCAAGGGCCTCATTAGTCTCATGAAGTCATTTAGAGCATTTTCAGGGTTGTCGTGGGTAGCCATCACTGCAGTTTTGGAAGGCAGTTCAGAGCTGAGTGTGATAGAGAATTTGAGCTGATGGGTTTGGAAAGAACAATACAGGACTTGATGAACACTGAGAATAAACTATAATCAAGAATTCCTCATTGGTGCAAATTTAATACCTGACTTGATTTCTTCCTAGTTTTGTGCTGAACAGATGAACACTGGCAACCTGGAACAGCTTTGCAGAGTGGTGCTTGCTTATGGCAAGCTTTTAGCTAGATGAGTCAAATTCCAAGTCTTTCACATAAATATAACATTAAATTTGTTCTTGGAATGAAAAACGTTTTGGACTGAGCTGATTTGAGAGATTTAATTCTGAATCTGAATGGGAAAACTTAATTTCCATAAACTTTTAAAATATTTCTTTTTGGTCAAAGTYGGTCAGAAAGAAACCTGGGGATTTTTGAAAGCAGAAATCAAATTATATGAATATTCTGCATTATCCTTCTCAAAAATTTGCTGTTGTTACTTTGATAAGCATATGTTTTTAAGTAAAAAAAAAAAATGTACATGCTCTCCCTTTGCTGCTGCATAATTGCAAATGGCAGGAACTTCTTGGCCACGCTGGCGGGTCGCTGTCTGACCAACATCTCATGCCTGCCCAAGAGGTGGGGGAAATGGACACCTTCCTGTGGGAATGCATGAAATTCTGTGCCATGGCTGCTCTGCTGGCAGTCACCAGGGCACGGGCTGATTCTCTGCTTAACCTTGTATAGACATCTGTTTAGTGTGTTAGGCCAAAAGGCTGGCCAAACTACAGCATGTAAATGCCCATGCACTGTGTATGTGAACACGMGTGAATTAAGCGCCATCTGAGAGTGATAGAAAACTGTAACTTTGTTTTCCTATCTCCTTTTTTTTTTTTTATGCTTTTTTAAAAAAATATATATATTCTCAGATGGGCCAAGTACTTTCTTTTTACTCTTTTTCTTAGGATTGGGTGGTATGGGGGCCTTGCCCCCGTAGCTGGGGACAGGGCTAGCTAAATTTCCCTTGGCCCTCTGGAGTCTCTGCCCATCTGCTCTGAGGGATTTCAGCCGAGAAGGGAAATGGGGGACTCCTCGGGGTGAGTAGCCTTGTTTTTCCCTGAACCATTTTACAAGAAAAAGCAGAGAATTTTTTTCCCTCCCTCACCTTCAGTTTAATTTATTAGCATGTGATATGGGAGCTTTCTGGTGCTCTTTTTGTCCTTTAGCAGTTGGCATCAGTAGTCTGAGGTTCACGGCCTAGTTCTCGGTTACTGCTCTGCTCTGAGCTGTTCTATTAGCTCTGCATTTCCCAATTAACAACTCCACAACAAAGTTCTGTGGCAATCCAGTGCAATTCCTCCKTTTCTCTTTTGGGGAGCTTCTAAGGACATAATGAGGATGCTCTTGATATGAGCTACTCAGCTGTTGCTCAGTTTCAAGGGAAACCACGAGCGCTTTTTTGGTAGTACATTTTAAAAGCAGAAAGCAGATCAGAATAGGAGCCGTAAAATAGCAATAAAAATATTAGTTCTATTACAAGGTAAGTAAGCTTATGAATGCTGACAAAATAGGTAGCAAGAAAAAAAAAACATGTATATAGTGCCTTTCACACTATAATTAAGTGAAYAAAATTCACTTAATAAATAATTAAGGGAATTTTCTTGATAATTCCATTTACACTGGAGATTTTTACATTGATGAGGTACCTGACCGTTGCTTCTTACTTGGGACATGGCCCCGTAAGACAGCCAGTTTGGTTTCAGACGTGGTTAAGGAGTCAGACTTGGCAAGCAGACACTGCAGAATTAACATTTATTTGGTGATTTTTTTTTCAAAAGAATTTATGACAGCTTTGATTCATGTAGCGATTGGAGAGTGTTACCTCTTTGAAATATGGTGAACTGCAAAGAAACTCTTCAGAACAGTCTTAAGAGATAAGGACCAGCGTAGCAAGTTAAGTGTACACTGAAGGCAAATCAGTTGTGACAGACAAGGAACTTAGTGTTATCATCTCTGATTGTACTTCTGCAGTCATTCTAAACAGTTAGTAGTTTTAATTCTTTATTTGCTTACCTTTATTTCAACAAGTAATAGTGTTCATAATGACATACTTTTCATACCCTTCTCCTTTTTCTGCCCTTTGCAGGTGGCCTTCTTATCTCCTCAGCACACTTTGGAGCATATGTGTATGGTGCTGATATAGACTACAACACAGTCCATGGGTTAGGTAAGTTGCCCATTTCTAAGCAATGGAAATTAAAGGAATTTAGGAATTTTTAGGAATTAAAGACTGTTTATGATAACAGATGTTCCTCTATGTGCATAAGAATAACATTTATCTTCATGGTGTTTATTTTCTTGTGCTTCTTTTTTACTGACCAATTTATTTGTATCCCAACTAAGGTGTTTTCATAATATATAAGCAGAAAATACTTCATACAATGAATAACTAAAAAAATCAAAGCCAGATAATGAATAGTGATGACAATGTCTGTGTGCCTCCTTGAGGCTTCCTTGATCTCTGTGCTACTGCTGCTGCTGTGATGCAGAAGTTTATTTTCTTGTAATCTAACCCTGTGAATTTAATCCCATTCTTACATCTCTGAAAAATTGAAGTGTAAATTAAATTTGAATTACTGGATGGGATTATGACTAGTGGATAATAACAACCTGATAGTTTAGTAATGATAGTTTAAAGCAGACTTCTTATAAATAATTTTTTTTTGAATTAAGTGTTCTGTGACATCCTATATAGATGGTTTAGTGAAACTGTTCTTCTTGTTTTATCATTATATACGGCTTTTTACTTCTAAAGTTTTATCATGATTACTTGTGGCAATGAGTAGAACATGACAGGAGATAAAACTCTTATTTAGTATGTGACATTTAATTGTTTCTCTCTAAAATAAGTGATATAAAATGAGGAAGACTTTCCTTTAAACTTGTCTCTCATGGCATATACATTTTTTTTTCCCCCTCACTACCCCTTCATCCCACCCAGGGAAGGCCAGCAGAAAGAACCAGAAATGGAGGGGGCCAGATGAAAACATCAGAGCTAATCTCCGGCAGTATGGCCTYGAGAGATTCTACCTGGATGCCCTCGTTTCCGATTCTTCGAAACCGATATGGCGAAAGGGGGTGCTCTTTGATGCCATCATTACAGATCGTAAGGCTCTTCATGGTTTGCCTTGTCTAATAGCAGTAACTAAAAGCTCACTGCTTATGCACACGCTTGTTTTCATGTAAATCTAGACTAATCAAGACTGGTAAAGCTTTCCTGAAACAAAAGAGAAACTGGTAAACTGCAGGATCTAAGAGGTAGCACAGAGGTCAGACTTAGCCGTGTTCTTGCACCCTGTACCTTGGGTAGGTAGTAACTCTGTCAGCTTTGTTAGGACCAGTCAGGGAATAAAATGCTGTTTGGCATAGATGTATGTTACTCATTTACTGAAGTGGTGGAAATAGAAGCTGCCTTTTTAATCTGTTGAAAAAAGTAGATTTACTGCCTTGATGAGTGCTCAGATCTGAGAGTTCCACAGCATAAAACATGACCATTGAGGATGAAACTGTTGAAACTGAGACTGCATTTTGACATCTGTGTATTTATTTTAGGGAAGTTTATAAATGTGCAACAAGGTAGGAGATCTCTATTAGAGTATGTGTGTGTGTATATATACATATGTCTATATGTGTGTGTGTATATATATCTTTTTTAATGAAAGTAGATAGAAGCATTTCCACAGAGAAAGTATTGCCTTTGTCAGTAGAAATCAGCATGGCTGAAAATTAGCCTTTGAAGAAGTCTGATTCAGTAAAGATAAAAATTTATTGATTCTGGAGACTTCTTACCAGAATAGTCTGTTTCGCTGTTGGGACTTACTGTTCCAACACACTGGAGTCTGCCAGGCATTTGTGATGGACTTCTGCAGACCTCTGTTTAATGCTTACTGCACTTCTTCCAAAGGGAGATTTTAATTCCCAGTAGGCTTAACTACAGGTAGCAGAAGGGGCTTGAAMGGGTCCTCCACTCTCCAAAGAAAAAAAAAACCCTCTTAACATTTGTCATGCATGAGAAGGGGTATACGCTAGGAGAACAAATGTAAGACACTGACACAGCAGTTTCTGACCTGGCTCTTACCATGTTAGGTAAGTTAAGAATAGGGAGTGTGATTTTTCTCCAAAGGTTGCCTGTTGATTTTTATTTGGCCTATTTGTCAATAAGGTAATGTGTGTTGTGAATATGATTTAGAGTTGAGTTTGTAGATTGTGTTGTAGCTTGTGCACAAAATGGATATATTGATGCCCTCGTTTTGCTGAAATGAATCTTTCAAAAACAAAGGTGCTGAACATGAGAAGTTATGCCATTAGAAGTTTGCAAAAATACGTGACAAAAGCCACCTCTGTCCTTATCTGTATGAGAATTACCATTCGTGTAATATTTTAGCACAAAATTCAGGTATATGCAAATTCACAGCAGAGAACATCATGCAGAAGAGGATGAGATTCGCTGTCATTTGTTGGGAATGTAAGGAGCATCTTTGAATGAGCTAACCTGTATTTCCTAATACAGGAAAGCGTTGTCTTCTGTATTGTAGCTGCTACCTGGTGTGCTAAAGAGTCTTACTACTGAGGAGCATTCTTTGAAGCAGCTTTAAAAACAATACTTTGAAGCAATAAACTCTCAACAGATCTTCAAGAAGTTACCCTTACCAGTTTTTAACCTTGTAACAGCTGCAGTTTGTGTGCTGTTGTGTACGTATAATGTAATTTCATGATACTGTTTGCACAAAGCGCTAACTTCTCGTTTCTGCATTGTGTTTTTGCTTTGCGTAGCACCATACGGAATCCGAGAAGCTACTCGCAGGACAGGTTCACAAAAAGAAGCAGTTAAGTCGAGTGAAAGAAGGTAGGTGACTTATCTGTCGTATAATGTAAATGGCTTAATGGAGGCCAGTGACAATTTCAGAATCTTTGTTATTTCTGGTTAGCTGTCAGCRGATGAAATAATAATTAAAAAAGAAAAGCCCTTACTGTTCTGCATGCAAGACTGTGTTGTCACTACTGTGTCACTTCCAGAAATACCCTTGTTTTTGTTCTTACTTATCTTTTGCGTGTATTCACATATCAAGTCCTATATCTCACCTCAGTGAGCCACCTTTACCTTGTATTTCCTATGCTTAGAAAGCTCTCCTCAGTGCCTGCAGGTGGCAGAAGCCAGCCTGAAGTGGAGTACCTCTGTTTTACCTTAACCTTCCATGTTTTCTGCAACTCTTTTCTCTCCACAGATAACACATGGCTTTTCTGCTGCATGGCCTTCCTTGTCTTCTGTCTTTTATTATAAATTGCCCGTGAGAAAGAAGCTGTGCAAGATAACTATTTCTAACATGTCTGTGATTCAGTGATTTTTTCCAAGTACTAAAGGTGCTACTTTAAAGATTTGACAGAGGATTTTTGAAAATCTTACTTTTCTTAGCAAACATTGTATGACTATGTTGTCATCAATAGTTTTACAAATCTCAAATGATAGCTGTTTTTTAAATTAAAAACACAGGTGTTACCTGGACTTCATATTTAAACCTTTTTTTTTCTTAGCACAGAAAATCCCGTCTTCATTTCATCCAGCTATCATCTGAGTGACATCTTTTTTGACCTATTGAAATTTGCAGCAGAATACCTGGTGATGGGAGGAAGATTAGTTTACTGGCTGCCAATATACAGGCCTGAGTATGTATTCTTGATTTCTGGTATGTAGTATGCCAAAATGGACTTTGCATTCTAACCATGATCTCTTCTGGGGTGTGATAGAGCTATAACTTGCATAGTGCAAGAACTGAAGAGTCATGCTCGGATTTAAGTGTTAAAACTTCATATGGAGGAGAGCAGATTTTTAAATAAGAGTTTCAAATGAAGTGTGTCCTGTTCAAATTTCATGTGTGCTCGTAAACACATGTCCAGTGGGTTGAGGTTTCAGCTTCGAAAATCAGTGCAGCTATAGGAGCAGGTAGCAGCAAGAAGGTATTTATCTGTGTCTATTAGAGTAGTTGATAGAGGTTCAAGACCAGGTTCTAAGTGACCATCTGTGGCTCTTTAGGGCTTAGCACCACCAACTTAACATTCTTCTGAGAAATCAAAAGCCAGCTGCTAAGAAATGGCTTATGAGAGGCAGAAGTGCAGGAAATAGCCCCCTTTAAAGAGGGGAGAGGCCAGGAGAACCTGGGTGGTGATGCTTGCTCAGGAGGGCAGCCTCAAATTMGGGCTGTGTTGCTTTAGAGAATGAGGAGTTGTAAATGTGCTCAAACATGTGGCAAGTGCTGGGATGGAGAGTGTCTGAAGAGGTCAGAGACGGTCATAAGAGGAGAGACATCTATTCACATACCTTAGTTCTGCAGCTCTTGTCAAAGGGGCYTTTTGGCTTTCTGAAGCAAGTTCTGTGTTAAGTTAGAGAGTTTATAGTAGCTGTTTCTAAATAACTCCCAGATGTAGATGGCCTCTGAAGAAAGCTTCAATATTGTCATGTGTTTCTGCAATGTTATAAAACTGGTCATTGAATCAGGTTTCACCGTAGAAATGACTTATGGAAATCCTAGGTATAATATCACATGCTATATGAAAATTTGGGAATCCAAAAGATCTGTTACATCAGATCTCTGCATGGTCTTTGGTAAGAGAAGTGTACTGCTTGGGTAGCTTGCACATCTTTTTTTTTTTTTAAATACAGTTGATATTGTAGACTTTTTTTTTGTAAAACTGTTTTCAGACAAAAAAGTGTCATTGACAATTATATCTTCACATACTGTCATGGATAATTCATCATTCAATTGATGTTCTGAGGAAATAAGCTCTCAAACTGCAGTTTGGTTGTCTCCTTTAAGCGCATCTCTTTTATGAGCYGACTTTATGCAGTGAAGATTGAAACGCTGAAGAAGTCACTCAGTAAGGACAGATTATTGGTATCATCATTTTATTTTYAACTGCAACGAGGAACATAGTAAAACAAATATGAGGAAGGTATAAGGTAGAAGTTAGTAATATGTTGAGCTATTGGAGTATCCCYGCTGTCAGGTTAAGTTGTTATTTGTGATTCTTGCATATTACTTTAACATAAATCCATTTGAATACAGATTTGGTTTTAAGACCACTGCTTTTATATTACTCATTTGATAGTGTGCTGAGTTTTGCCTGAAAGTGTGTAGGAAGAACTATGTATGTTAATGCTAATAGGCAGGGTTTTTTAACAAAGTGGTGGTGATCTGTTGCTCTTCAAGACAGCAACTCATTCCAAAGTTTCTTCTCTCAATCTGACATTGAAATAATTGTTGTAAAAAACTCATTTTATATTATTAGCTAGGTCAGGACTACTTTTCCTCTGTTCTCACACACAGCTCTTAAATCCAAAATTCTACTTTCAGCATTTGGAGAATTAGAAAGAGCATRTATAATCCAGAGCAAGCTGTGTCTAGAGAAATTAGTGTGCTTAAAAGGTATTTAAAACTGTGGCTGCTGATACAGGCACGGTTTAGCCAGTGTTACTACCATGTGATGTTGAATGTAATCCCTATTGTTTCCTTTAGATTTTTTTTCTTCAGCTGACAAAGAAATTGCAGTATGATACATTTGTAACACCAATTTCTGAGGTCCAGGAATGTCACTATCTATTGGAAACTGTTCTACTATGGTTTGGAATTTGAGTATAATCATCTCCCTTTAGGGAGTAAGAGTTAGGTCTTCTATTGCTGCAACTTTATATATGTTTACTGTGGGATAATTTTTTAAAACCATAGCTCCTGAGTGGATAAGTTATTACTCCTGATTGCCTAAGAAATTTTCCTTTTGAAATAATGCAGACACATATACATTAAAAACATGTAAATATATATAGAAAATTGATTTAGGGATTTCTCTTCCTCTTTACTATGAGATTTTCATTTATTCTACATGTTTTATGGCACAAGATGATGGGAATACATAATGGAAAAACTTTGAACACAGATACCTAGGTATCTGGTAAATTAGAGTCTAAAAGGTGTAGCAACTCCTAAGTAAGCCATTTTGCAAAGAATCTCCTGTGAATTTTAGGTATCCGTTTCATGAGCTTACAACTCTCTGAATTTTTATTTCTTCCAGATACACAGAAGAGATCATTCCCCGGCACCCCTGTCTGAAGCTTATTAGTAACTGTGAGCAGATGCTTTCCAGCCACACATCAAGGCGCCTGATAACCATGGAAAAGGTGAAAGAATTCAAGGTAAGCTCGAATTTGGATTACAGTGTGTAAAATGGTAGCTATTACATTCCTGAAGGGTTTGTCTGTTACTCAGCATTTGATCTTCATTTGTATCGCTCTTGAGCTTTTTATGATGAGAGTTAGAGCTTTTGTAGTTGCCACACATTTCTTTAAAATAAACGGTGTAGTGATTGAAGGGAGGGTTCTGGTTTAAGTGTTTCTTCTCAGTTTTGGTTAACTTTTTATTCTGGGCAAACTGTGCAACAGTGTGAAAGGATCTTGAAAGTTATTCTTCCTTGTGGAAATTGCATATAGTTTTCTTGGGAAAGTGGACAGTACCCACGTAAGATCCACCAAGGTGCTTAGATGCCTAAATTCCCACTTATTCTAAATGATAATTAGGTGTCCAAATGAGTACTAAATACTGYGATGGATCTGGCGGTGTATGTACACCATATTCAGTTATGGCACTGCATTCTTTCAGTGGTACTTTTGTTCTTTAAATCAATGGTGGGGCAAGAGGAATGTACTTCTTGGGAAAAAAAATCTACTGTACCTGTGACATAAGCACAGTGAAGCGAAGCAGAGCAGGGTTTTAGGCTGCCCCCCCTTTTCTTTGCAGCACTAAGTGCCTCTCCTGCAGAAGAGTGGCAAGAGTCACTGGGCTCTAAGATTTTCATCCCTTATAGTCACACTAGGAATCTTTATTGATGTTGGATTTTTCCTGTCCAACTTAGAAGTGTCTGTTCCTGGATATGACCCTTCTGTCCTTGATTTGGAAACTACATGAAGTTGTTTATAGCTGTATAGCATTAGGACAAATGGTTTCTGTAGCTACTGTCTAGCACCAGATGTAGAGTGGTAGGAAGTTGTGATAAGGGCAAGGAAGATTTTTAAACAAAAGCTGGATGTGGATAGTTACCCTAACGTTGACCTGAGGCCTGTAGATTCATAAAAACCTTTTGAATTACACATAATATCTTCAAAGATTTAAATAGAAAACACTTTTTTTTATCCATAAGCTTCCTCCTCTTTCTGCCACTTCTTTTATTATTTATTGGAAGTGTGTGACACCTTTTATAGTGTTGTCTTTAGAAAATAACATTAAGTTGAAAATACTAGCTGAAAGCTCTTTGGTAGCATCTAATTCTGGTTTTGGGTTATTGCAGGAGRCACTGTTAAACCTTAGAGAGTAAAAGTTTTATATAATGGCTGTTGTTTGTGCTTAGACTGTTGTTTTGAGAACTCAAGTTATTCAAAGTCAAAACCAAGGATGATAAGAAAGAATGACCAGTGGGTAAAGAACATCCTCAGTTCTGACCTTCACAASGAAAGAAGAAATCTTTGTTTTCCAGTGGTGCTGGTGTAAGGCAGCAACACCCGACCCGCTGCCGAGTGAGCCGATTCCTGCTGCTCAGCCTTGGCCCAGGGCGAAGGCGGTGCCTTCTGGGGAGGTTTCACTGCTTCCTGCAGAACCACCAGCTGCAAACACGGGCCAGAGAACTAACGTGGTGTGTGGTTCCAAAGGCAGTGAAGGCACTAAAGCTTCCTTCTGCTTTCTGCTCGTCCTTACTTCAAGCTGTATAGCATGAGCAGTGCTCCCTCTTCAGTGTCCAGCAAGGCTTGCTAAGAGGAGGAAAGGGGTTGTCTCCTTCCAAGCCCTGCAGTTCAGCTCCATTCTCAGTGTTTGACCTTAAAAGAAACAAAAAAGAAAGAAAAACTAGGCAAGTAAAAACATGTATGTTGACTGCACTGGACAGGTAATGGGCTTAAGGGAGAGCTGACACTAGTATGATCTTTAATTTCTCGAAACATGTAAACTACATAAGATTTTATTTAAAACCCTTCCCACTCAATCTACCAAATGAGATATCTAAAAATACATGTTTAGAGTGAACAGAGATTATCAACYTGTGAATTCAGGGGAAGAAGGGCTCTTTTGCGCAGACTGGTCCTGCCTGATGGAGAACTAGTGGGTGCGGGCTGGTTGTGAGAGGAGAGTGTCATCTTTGTTTAAAGCTCTCCCTGCTTTCTGTCTCCCAGAAGTAATTTTTGCCATGGATGTTTAAAAAACCTGTTGATTATGAACCCAAGAAGGGTATTAGAGATAGCTGTTTCACAGGGGATCAAAAGGCAACAGATAATACTCTGCTTGAAATAGGTTTAATGAGGTCATTTTCTCCTACTACTTTCCGACTTCCCAGTAATTAAATGAACTGATCTCCTCGTGGTGATGTGTATATTTGACAATCAGGTTTCCACCCAGCACTTAACCCTTAGCTAGTTAATTTAAGCCAGTGACGCCTCTGGTGTCTGCTAGGATAGTTGAGGAAAACCGCTTCCGTAGGAATACCTTGCAGTGCCCAGGAGAGGGCACTTRCACATGCACACAAAGCTCTTGCTCTGTTAGCAGTCCTGGTGTCGCTCTGCTTTAGGTGCCTTAGAGTACACCCCAGCACAGCATCTGGAGGGGAAGTGGCGAGGCGAAAGCTTGGAAGGGCAACAGAATACCTAAAGGGAGAGCTGTTTAGGTGCTGGAGTTCAGCTCTCCCTTACCAGCCTGGTAACGTATGACACCTCGTTTACTTCCAGGTTATTGCTACCTCTGCTCAAGCTTTTTAGGCAACCTCGTTCTCAAAGATGAATGGATAACCCTGAATTGTAAACTTAAGTAATCAACCAGTCTGTTACGGTGCTGTGCTGCTTAAAGTAAAAACTTGCAGGAAGCCATGAGTTCATATTGAGAAGAAACACTCCTCAGAGAAGAGTTCTAGTTCTGGTGCATCTTTTCTTTTTACTTTGCACAGCTTGTTTTAGAACTGATATAAACAGTCTCAYGTCTTGTGAGCAAGCGTGATTAGCACTTCTGGTTGATGTTAGTTTGCCTGTTTTTAACGTCACTATCAGTTTTCTTTAACACCGAAATTTGATGTATTACATATCTTAGAATATTGTCTTAGATAAAAATAGTTGACAAGTATCTCAATATTTAATTGTTTAAAACCATTATAGTTGACAAACTAGATCTTTAAGCCTATAATGGTCAAATTTTCTAAACTCTATTCTTGACTGATGTCAAGAATATAAGTGTTATATGTAAGGATTTGCAGTGTCAATTAAAACTTTCAGAGGTAAGTAAGAGCTAACAAGGAAAACACCCTCTGTAGCTCTTTACTATTTGTAGGCGCTTATGTTAGCCATTCTGTTCCTTTCCTATTTGTAACTGCCTTCTATAAACCTCTGGAAAATCCAGTCACTCTGATGGTGCTTTTTCCAGAAATTAATTTGAAATTTTTCCATTAGAAGAGTCTGAGTGGCATAGTACTTATGTTCCCGTTCATTCATGCAAGGGTTGAACCCTTTTGATGGTAGCAGGAATATTTCCAGTGATTCAGCATAGTTAAGTTTCAAATGTYGGAGACTTGACAACTTGCATACAATAGAATAATGGAAATTGGAATGAATTCTTAAAAAATGTGCCTGCCTGCAGATTGTATTTATCAATGTTACGTGCCATATTATCCATTACATATGAGTTGTCACTTGTGTAAGCTAGAGCTTACAATCGAATGTCGGTGGTGTTCTTAATTCTAATGAAACTTTATCAATTGGCCTTTAGAATTCTTTAATCCATCTGGTACCTTAATTTTTGTAATTCAGTGGCAAATACTTGATTTTGCTTGCAATTGTTTGAAAGTTTTGAGGATAAACAATAGCGATACACACCGAAGATGCCACTATAAATTCTAATGCTTCTCTTTTGATATCACGCAGGATCAAGATCACAGTTCTTACTTGTTGGACGGTCAATATATGCCATACAAGGGACACAATTCTTTTCGTGAGAAGTATTTCAGTGGTGTGACAAAAAGGATTGCCAAGGAAGAAAAAGACAACCAGAAGTAAAATATAATATAAACAGATTCAAAAATGAGGAAAGAATAAAGATCATGTTTCTTTGTAAGGACATCTGGATGTGCGCATTCATCTGGACGCTTCAGAAAATAAATACTGCTCTTGATTTTTAAAACAAGATGAAACCCACAACACTGGTTGAAAGCAGCTTTTTTTAAAATTAGCTTTGTTTATAGCAGATTTTATTGTACAAGTTTTTTGAGCCTTATTTAATTTATATTTGTACTTTCAAGTACTACTRATAATAATGGTTTTAGTTGATCATTGTTCTTTCACCATTAACATTTACAAAAAGGTAGTAGTATTATTTGGCTTCTTAAACTGTGAACATCTGGCTGTTTTAGAAGCACGTTGTGGTGATTAAGGATTGCTTATTAAGAAGATCGTTTTCGTTTTTTTTTTTTTGTAAATGATGTACAATAAAAACAGCTAAGCTTGTTGTGAGGCTTTTTTTTTTTAAATTGTTGCATGCAATAACTGCTCGTATGAATTGTGATTGCTCTGGTTGAGGCCAAGAGCGCTTAAACCAACCAAACACAAAACATAAAGAAACAAACTCATCCACAGAAAAGCCTCTGTGACCTGACAAACTCTGGAGAGCCCATTAAGCCCCATGAAGCCTGTCCACATCTGAAGCTCATCTGTACCTTGGATTTGYTCTTGCATTCCTAAACCTTGACTCTTGGTCAAGCCAACTGTCTGCAATTTTTGGTTCAGAAACTGATAGTTTAAGCAGTAACAACAACAGCATAAAATCAGTAATGATTCCCTAATGGTATTAAGCCTAATCAAATCTTTGAAATTGAAGCTGTATTTGTTAGAGAGAGAACTTTGCTGAATCCATACCATGTCCATTATGAAAATACCTTATTTGAAAACCACTAAGCCCATTAATTCAGGATGTTAATGGTTTTTCTTATTTCTGGTGGTCAAATATGGTCAAATATACTCCAGCAGGGCGTTGGTGAAACTTCCTCCAGCCTTACTTCCTAATTTGCTGAAGGTTTTTGACAGCGTTGATGCAAAAAACAATGATATCTAGGCAGCCATAAGACAATGTGGGTATCTGATTTAGTTCATTAGCTAAATTCACTTCCCTGTGTGTTGTGGTCCTCAGCTGCAGCAGGGAGAGCTCAAATACTCAATGACAACTTTGTCTGACATTCTGGATCTAATCTGTGGTGTCTTAAGAAGTTCTGAAATAGTGATTTATTTTCTGTAGTTGCATTATAAATCACTTTGTTTTGAGATTTTTGATGTCAGGCGTATAATAGTTGTTCTGGGCTAAACTTGGAGCAAAATCAAAGCTGAGATTTTTTTTTTTTCCGAAAGCAGAATTTGAATTGATCGCTTGCAAATATTACACCAAAAAACTACTCCTTCCGCAAAATCGTCTTCATGTAACTTATGACTTCAATTTTAGTACTGCAATTTGGCATTTTGCTTTTATTACTTTACAAATTGAAATTACTTTCTGTTCTTCCTGGGCAAGGAATTTTTGTAGATAGATTTATGACACATTTGTAACTTCGTTCTCATAGACGTTACCCTACACAGACATGATCTAACTGGCTATACAAGATGTAAGGTAGTGGCAAATCTGGCTCTGTTCAGAAATGATTTAGCTTATTTCTTCTTGGCCTGGTCTGATTTTTAGTGGTGTATAGCCCCTGTTAGCAGTTCATATATAACTGCTCTGTAATTACTGAGGAATACCATTTTGAACAGAAACTAAAGGCATATTTGGGGTACTCTGTCAACATCCACTAATCAAAAATAATATAGAAGTGAGTTACAGATGTTCAATCTATACCAATTCTCAACATGAAGACACTCATTTGGAAATACTTCTGATCCCTGCATTTTTTTTTCTCATTTAATGTGTGTGCTCCAAATTACTGTATGCACAGACCTGCAGAACAGAGAGATATGCCTATAGCTGTGAGAAGATYCAGGGAGAGACTGCTGAATCTGTGCAAGTTTTGTCTCTCGTATGCAGGCGAATTAGCGTTTTGGCAGGATTTGGCCACTGAGGGCAGCAGTTGCTGGTGCTCCCATTCAGTCTGGTTCTATTCAGTCTCTTTTCTTAAATTTCCAGTTTCCTTTCACTGGCAGGGAGGGTCAATTCATGAGCCTGTGCTGCGTGCACTATGTTTTCATTCTCTCCTTTGGTGTGGTTTGTGCCATTTTCCAGTTTTGGAAAATAAATGTTATTTTTGGCAAGCTTTGCTTTGCAGCAAACTGGATAGAGGGAGGAGCTGAAAATGGATGCAAGGTCATATGGGCAGAGGGTGTCTTGCTGTTGGGTTGATAGGGCCCCTTTACCTGATGGGAGTTGTTCTGGCTGCCAGGTCTCCCCCATGTCTATCAGGATAGGAAATAAAAAAATTGAGGAAATAGATTTTCTCTGCATTACTTGTATGCTCTGCCTATCCTTATTTATTTATTTATTTATATGAAAACTTCACCTTTTGGAAAGCTTGAACAAATTTGACAAACAGTCAAGGCTCAACAAGATCTCTCAGTCATCCAGGATCTAGAGATTTTGTCCATAGCAGTGCAAGTATAGAGGACAGAGACCTATTTCCTTTCTCTTCCAAGAAGGCCATAATATGTGTAGGGCTCTCATTAACCTTTGGAATTTTGTGCAAAGAAATGATGATTGTCAAGCATCATGTAGGATTATAATTGCAAATTTCTGTTGCTTTAAATAAAAACACTTAAAATGCCTTCCCTTCCAAGACTGTCAAAACAGTATAGTAATATTACTGTTTTGCGTCTTCCCAAAACAATTTTTATTAAAAATTTGTTTTTYGAATTTCTTTTTCAATGAAAATGCTACTTGTTATAAAGAAGTATAATTTAAAGTTTTCACGAGCAGTGATTCAATATCTCTTCATAGATTGATTCTTACACATTTCAAAAATCATGTTGTTTGTGATGGGCTTAATTACTATTTTTTATTATTACTTAATTACTATTAATTCTAATCGAATGCATAGCTCTTAATTCAACAATCTCATCTCCATAAGAAGATACCATTTGCAAAGCAAGCACATGGCAATTAATCATAATATTTCTTTCTGTGAAAGCCTGGCCCAAAAGATGTGATGTCTCTGAGTGATGATGAGGGACAGCCCACAGTGTCTTTGCTTTATCCCRAGCCTGATATGAGGGATTCCCACTGAAGACTGGGAATTATGTTGATGATTGCATTTTGGATTTTGGAATCAAGACTAATCCATGACTTTTTTCTTACTGCACACAACATTAGAAGAAACACAAGTGGGTAATTCCAGTACCAGATAAATTTAGCTATGAAAATTCTTAGCAAGTAATAGAGAAGGTTCATAAAATATTGTGACTTCTGGCTAGAGATGGAAAATAGCTTTGTTTATGTAGATGAAGTCCCATGGTAGTTGGGTCTAGGTGACTGGAAGGATTGATCTTTACACACAGGCAATTGTCTGTACCGGAATGATGATGCTTTGCCTGCACTTCATGAAGTAGAACTTTATAAAACATTCTGTTTTACAGGTTTGTTTTGCAACTGTTTGTAAAGCTGTGAGATGCTGAGATTAGAAGTACTACGTAGATGTGATGTGTTTATTACAATAACTATGCCTTGAATAACTAAAGTCACAGGCAGTTCCATAAGGTAGACACTTTGGTCTTGGCTTTTATCTTGCAAAAATAAAATAAAAATACAATACAATACAATACAATACAATACAAAAAAAAATACAATAATAACAACATAGGAAATTTAGGAGAGTCTACTCTCTTGAACCTCACTCCTTTACACAATATTCCCTAAGAATAAAAGTGATGAAATTATATGGGAAGACAAGGGCTGGATTGGTTAATCAGAATACATTTTTGTCAGGATTGGCATTTGGAAAATGTCACCTTTTATTCTCTGCTGCTTGGCACAAGAGCTGCTGCAGAGAGATGTGTGAACCTACATATGATTCTTTGAGAGCAGTACTGAAAATCAGCTTATTCTTACTCGTAATGTGATGAACCTGCTGAATCATGGAATTTCAAAGCAGCTGCTCTGGACAGAGGTTGGCCATTCTGTTTTGTCTGCCTGAATGACAGCAGCACCCCAAGGTAGGCAATTTTTCACGAGCTCCCAAGTACTGTGTATATTTGTTCTGTTTTGGTGTTACGATGTTCTCTGGAGCTAGCTGACAAGCTGCAGTTTGAACGTGATAAACTACTTTTGTTTGCTACAGGGAATGACCCGCCAAAAAAGTGTGCAGGCCTGTGCCTTTGGCGCAAGGGAAGTGGAGCCCCTTGCCCCTCTTTATAAAAAAAAATCAAAACCCTTTAGTAAAAAATATTTTTAGAATAGCTTTTGAAGCCTTGCATAAAAATGACAAAGTAGACAAAGATATAGAAGGTTTCTTAATTAAATATAGATTTTTTTTGTCTTTTGTTTTTACTTTAAAAGCTAAACAAAACATGTTTGTGTCAAGAACTGTCATGTCTCCTTCCCCCTCCCCTTTTGTTTTTAATTGTATTTTTATATGCTTGGCAGAATTAATGATGAAAATCTTTCCAGCTGTGACTGCCAGAATCCTTTTCTGAAGCTCCTACTAATTTGGATTAAACTCGATGGATGAAAGCCTCAAACAGCAAATCCTGGCAGTAGCTTTGCTGAGGCCCCACAGCATATACTTATCCAACTGTTCTTATCTTCTGAGGCAAAAAAAAAGAGGAAAAATAAGCAAACACAGTTTTGTAATCATGCAGTTGTTAGCACTCGCTCTGTCTCCTGCATGGGCTCATCAATCCTGACTGTGTGTGCAGGACCATGGTGCATACAGCAAGTGGCTACTACCAGCCTGAACTCTCTGCTTTAAACTCCCTTTGTAGGGGAGACCTAGGATTTTAGTGAGCGGAAGTTTTGGGTTCAGGTTTGGGGTTTTCTCTAAGTGCTYGAGGGTATTTTGGTATCTCATGCCAGCTACCCTGTGTGCTAGTGCACAGCGTGTGTTTTAAGCGGAGTTGCCGGTCTGGGCAGTTACTATTTAATACAGCAAACAGGAATGCTAAGTTTGTTATCTACTTAAGAGGCACTTCCCTCTCCTTTACCTCTAGGAGTCTTGACACCATGTTTGAGTATTGACACTGTTGAACTTGACACGCATTGAACTTGACACTCCTCAGGATTTCTGCCGGAGGAGGCAGCAGCTGCAAGTGCTCCTACAGCAACTAACAAAATAATTTCTTTGAATCGGACCAGTCAACCTCTGGCAAGCGCCCGTGTCCTTTCCCCGGCCCTGCCTCCAGGAGAGCTTTCTGGAAGCTTGTGGGCTCATAGTGAGCTATGCTGCTCACTTCACAACCGTGCTGAGAAGAATTAGTGTTTTAAAGTTCAGCTAGTGCTCTGGTG